ACTTCAGCAAAGCCTTCCATATGGTAAATCTACGAAATATTATGTAATAAACTTAATCGATATGGAGTAAGGGGCAAAAGCACTGGACTGGTTTCATTCATATCTGACAGGAGATATTTCTTCAAGTACGGGTAAATGGCCACATTTCAACTGAATATAGAGCAACCTCAGGCCGTCCCACAAGGATCACATCTGGACCGATCCTGTTCAATATTTTCATCAACGATATTGGCGATAAATTCTGATTAGATATTTACTTTATGCAGATAATTTGAAAATATTTAGAAAAATTACTGATTATGATAATATGCGCATTCTTCAGCAAGATATTGAGGAACATGTTTGGAGGAATAGGCTAAAACTGAACGTTGATAAATGTGTAGTGATGTCTTTCTCTCGCTCTCCTCAACGACAACCTGCAGCTTATTATCTTAGTGGACACCAACTCGAGGAAGTCGAATCCGTAAAGGACTTGGCGCGTCATTATCGACAATAAATTGAAGTTCCCGAATCATGTGGACAAGATGAAATCCAAAGCATACAAGACGCTGGATTTATACTCAGATCTGGAAGGGAATTTAACAATGTCTATACGTTAAATATACCTATATTTATACTTTGGTCGCGTCCAATAATGGAATATTATGTGCTCAACAAATCTGGTCACCATACACCGACATTCTTGTGGATCGAATCGAAAATTTCAAAAGAAGTTCTGTAAATACGTCAAGTACTATATGGGCATCAGAGGTCATGACATGAGCACTGATGAAGTCTATGATAAATTTGAAATACACTTCACTTTCCAAGCGGAGACAAATTGCAGTTTTTATATATTTTTTAAGATCATTAATTGCGAAATGAATGCCAAGAAATATTAGAACAATTTGAATTTGCCTATTCAAAACCTGGCTTGAGATCGTATAGATTACTGAATTCAATTAAGACTACTAAAAATTATGTATAGTTTGGTCCGAAAAATAGAATAGCGCGAACCTAGTAAATGAATATTGTTTTTCAGTATAAACTGTCTTTGGGGGGATCCACATCATCATTCCCGATACAGATAAAGAAAATTATACATAACAAATATTAATTACGAAGATTGTAAACACTAGAACGATTGATGTGATACTTACGGTTTATAATCTCAATTTAATTTAATGTAATTTAATTTATATGCATCGATTGTGTGTATTTAGAAATTGTTTATAGTGTATTGGATGTGATTGTGCAGTGTGGTATATAAATTGTTACCTATATGTACAAACAGGGCGTGAATAAGTAAATAAATAAATAGAATAACAAAAATATAAATAAAATAAAAATAAAATACAAATA